CCAATGGAATTTCCCATTGGGAACCTGCTAGCACTAAGTTGCTAACTGGTTAGCAAGATGCTTCCGACAAACCAGCCACAACCAAACGTGTTTGTCCCGCCCCCTTGATAATCGACCAATCACATTCACTTTATTCACTCTTGTAAAGTCTGGCACCACTCAGGAGAATTCGGAAATGCAACGGTTTGAACAGTCGCTTCTCTACGACTTTAACAAACTGCTTCACTGTAAAGGAAATGTATGTATAGTATTTCCATTTCTTCTCATCGTAGAGAGAAAGAAGCATTATTATATTAGAATCTTTGTATTATAATCCCTCAGTGTCTGTTTGGACAGTTCTATGTGTCAGTATCTAGTTATATAATCCGCTCTATAATCGCCACCACCTGAATCCACCTACAAACTTTAAATGCTGAAGGAAACGTCTGCTGGGGTCCTGGAAGGATACAACCTTCCTCTGAATCTGGCACGTGCTTATCCATTTGTGCTGGGGGTCAGAGGTCAGGCATGGGTGGGTGCCTGGGGGTAAAGGTGAAGGGGCCTGACTAGTTGTGTTTTTCTAACTATGATGTATAAAAGCAGACCTGCTTTTTTTTCCTTTGCCTCCTACCTTTATTCTATCCTCCTTCTTCTGCCGTTCAGGCTCCATCTTGCTTTTCTTCATCCTGAGGAACAGAGGAAGCTCTGGTCTTCCTCTGCTAGTTCTTTCTAAATTAAAACTTTTTTGTTTTCACTTTTTCAGCCCTGATTTAGTCTCTTATTAACTTATTCTCAAACCCAGGAAATCAACCAACTGGTGTGCTTCTTTCCTAGCTCCATATTCCGAGGCTCAGCTGTGTGCGTCTACTCCATGGCATCAATCCGTGCCGCCTTCAACGGACCCTTTGCCCACAAAGAAGGTCCTGACTACCGCTGGGTTGAGTACAAAGGCCGCATCCCCTACCCCAGACCTGGAACTGTGAGTTGAAGACACACAATAAGCTTTAAGATAACTGGGTTTTTACATTCCCTACCAGGCAGGAGTCTGGTTTATTGAGGTTGTGGCTGCAGGGCGGGTGAATATCACTGGCTAACACGCAGGAACAGGCCTAATAGGAAAATGCAGCATATATAGATGCCCGTCTGGGTTATTCCCACTGCAGGGTCCCTTCAGGAAGGTAATTATCCTAAATTAGTCCTGCAGCCACAGTCGTGCAGAGCTGTGATCAGTCACAACAAAACAGAAACCCTGCAGCAGATGGTCCAGCTCCTCTGGAGACCTCATTCCAGCATCATGGAGACAGTTTAGGGTTACATGAAGCTGCATTAGTCCAGACAAACCACAACAGGCAGTTTAGGCTTTGACTGAACATTCAGCCCATCAACATTTTCCCTCTGGTTGTTTGAAAAATTGTCTCTCTCCATAAAAATAAGGACCTCCAGAGCAGCGCTGAACAATTTTAACAAAAATCTTAATTTGCGATTATTTTTAATCAAATATGCGATTCCATTTTCCTTTGAACTAACCCCAAATTTCACCCCAGGCTTTCGGTTTTTGAAAGCTGGTTTGCCCAGAGTCCATTGTTACAGGAATTCACTGTAACCATTGCGTGAAAAGTGTTTACGTCTACTTGCAATCATTGATCTGCTACACGCTGCAAACCTCTCTACCTTTCTGTGTGACGACTGTCAGGATTTGTTTGAGGGTTGTGGACCCAAAGGCAGAGGCAGGAGGGCAGAGGTGAATTTTTTGAGTGATTTAATGATGAATAATAAAAAAAACTGAAAACAGAGGCAGGTTATCCAAAAGATCAAAAAGAAAACAAAGTCCAAACAAAAATGAAACCTGGAGTCCAAAGATCAAAAATAAGAATAAAACATAAGTCTAGACGTACCAAAAAACCAAGGAGACATCAGGGGAATCAAAATCACAAGGAGGGCTCAGAGAGACGAAGTGGAGGAAGACTGATGAGATTTGATGATGTTTGACCCAGCAAAGAGGAACTGAAAAGAGAGGGCTTTTAAAGGAGACTGAGACAAAGAGGGGGCTAATGAGGAAACTGGGAGCAGGTGTGCACAGAACAAGAGAG